CGCAGGACGTTTGATATCAAATAACATTTTAATAGCACAGGAAATGTTCCACGGGCTACGAACAAACAAATCCAGTCAATATAATTTTTTGGCAATTAAAACGGACATGAGCAAAGCATATGATAGGGTAGAATGGGATCTTATAGAACACCTTTTGCTGAAATTTGGATTTGCGGAAAAATGGATCACATGGACGATGTGGTGTATAAAATCAGTACAATACAGAGTCTTATTGAATGGGCAACCCAAAGGCAAAATTATCCCACATCGGGGACTCCGGCAAGGGGATCCTCTGTCCCCATACTTATTTATTTTATGCACAGAAGTTTTGATCTCTAATATAAAGAAGGCGGAAAGGGATAAAAAACTAACCGGCTTAAAAGTAGCTCGTTCAAGCCCATCGGTTTCTCACTTACTATTTGCGGATGACAGCCTCTTTTTCTATAAAGCAAATAAGGAGGAATGCCAGCAGATATTGTAAGTGCTTCGGCAATATGAGTATGTTTCGGGTCAACAAATAAACTTCGATAAGTCATCACTACAATTCGGGCATAAAGTCTGCAACACAGTGCAAAATGAGATGAAACAAATTTTACGAATCAATAATACGAGAGGAATGGGGTCATATTTGGGGTTACCGGAAAACCTAGGGGCGGGGAAAAGCAAGATTTTTCAGTTTCTAACTGACATGCAACAGGACCGGGTAAATGGATGGACGTCCAAATTATTATCAAAAGGGGGGAAGGGAAGTCCTAATAAAATCGGTGGCATCAGCTATGCTAACATTTGTGATGTCATATTTTCGACTACCGAAATCTGTTATCACAAAGTTAACAAGTATCACGGCCAGATTCTGGTGGAACACAGATGGCCAAGTAAAAGGCATGCATTGAATAGCATGGAAAAGGATGTGCCGTCATAAAGCTGATGGGGGCATGAGATTTAGGTCGATCGAGGATTTTAATACGGCATTATTGGCAAAATAATTATAGCGATTAATGGAAAAGCCAGACTCCTTATTTGCGAGATTTTTTAAAGGAAGGTATTACTGGAATGCAGGCCCGATGGATAACATAAGGTCCTATTCACCATCCTACGGATGGCGAAGTATCATCTCAGCTCGATCTCTGGGCTAATCAAAAGAGTTGGATCTGGATGCTCCATTTTGATATGGAACGATCCCTGGGTACTATCTCCTCGCCCGAGATCAGCAATATGTAAGGGTTATAATTACTACCTAAATCTCATGGTCAATCACCTAATTGATCTGTGGACTAATACTTGAAATATGGGGCTAATTAATGCAATAATAGATCCAAAATATGTGGAAATAATACAAGGGATGCCAATAAGCACTACATTTAGGCTGGATGCAATGGGCTGGCATTTCACAAAATCAGGACGATACACGGTCAAATCGGAATATCAAATTGTGCATCAAGACTCAGAGGAAAAATCACAAAACATCTATGGACCCGATCTCGGACCCTTATTGGCAACCATATGGAAATTGAGATGCCCTCCTAAATTACGACATTTTCTATGGCAATCATTGACAGGATGTTTGGCAGTTGCAAAAAATCTGAATAACAGAGGAATCAAATGTGATGCTCAATGTAGCAAATGCGGAGCAGATGAGGAAACAATTAATCATGTTTTATTTGAGGAACAATTCTTGGGTTCACCCCTAGGGGTGAATTCATTCATTCATCCCCTCTCATTTTAGCCAATAGGAATCTGCCATATAATAAAATCAATTAAAGTAATTTACCAAAATAGCATATTTTAAATATATTTTTTTTAAATGAGAAAAAACTAAAGCCTAATTTGGAAATAATGAACCCAGATATAACATTAAAGTTTATGTAGAATTATTTTTAATAAAATTATATTTTTACATAATTATTTGTTTTATTTTCGAAATTTAAATAAAAAAACTAAACCCTAAATTGGAAATAGTGAACCCAAACATAATATTAATATATTTTTTTTAATAGAAAAAACTAAACCCTAATTTAGAAATAGTGAAGCCAGCATAATATTGAAGTTTATGTACAATTATTTTTTATAAAAAATATTTTTACATAATTATTTGTTTTATTTTTGGAATTTTAAATAAAGAAAAACTAAAACCTAAATTGGAAATAGTGAACCCAAGCATAATATTAAATTTTATTTATATATTTTTTAATATATATATATAATTATTTATTTTATATTCGGAATTTTAAACCCTAATCCCTAAATTCTAAATTTTAAATTCTAAATTCTAATCTTTATACTATAAATCATAATCTATAAACCTTAAAAAAAAATTAAACCCTAAATTCTAATCTTTATATACATTATTTATTTCTTATATATATTTTTAACAAAATATTTGATTGAGTATTTAATGTTTTACTTATAATTTTAATTTTTATTTAAAGATAATATTACATTGTAGATTTTTATTGCCTTAAATGAGAATAACTGAATGAATGAATTCACCCCTAGGAGTGCCCCCCAGCAGTGCAGACATGGGCTTTGTCAAAAATTTCAACACCCCCTAGAGAGTTCCCAGGAATTTCGATTTACTCAAATTTTGATCACCTGTTTTGGCGAATATCAAAACAGATTTCAAAGGAATCCTACCCATGAATATTATGGTATATTTGGAAGGCGAAAAATGACAAACTATTCTCAAATATGGATAGAGATCCACGAATGACGCTCAAATTAGCGGAAACAGAAGCCACTTTATGGGAGGAAGCACAGAAAATGATAACTGCACCGGAAATACAAACTCATTGACGGACTATGGAGACAAATCCCTATAGGGGTGGATGGTGCTCTATGGATGGCTCCTGGAAGGAGTCGGATAAAGTGTCAGGTATAGGCTGGTACTACTCGCGGGAAGAAACAAATGAAACAATAATGGGGGCAAGAAATTTACGGCGGAGTCTATCTTCTTTACATGCAGAAGTAGAAGCGCTCTTATGGGTAATGCTCTGCATGATCGAAAATCAGCGAAGAGAAGTGGCTTTTGCAACAGACTGTTCTGATATGGTGAAGATGGTGTCGGTACCCGAGGAACGGCCAGCATTTGCATTACAGTTAGAAGAAATCCAGAAATGCAGGGAGAAGTTCCAACATTTCACATTGATCCATATACCACGAGCAAAGAATACAAAGGCGGACGTATTAGCACACAGCGCTAGAGTCTACCCAGGAGATATGATATATGTAAACTTCTCTCCACCGACTTGGCTAACCAGTTTGGTATAAAAGAAAAGACTGTTAAAAAAAAAGAAAAAAAGTATACTCCTCATTTTGAGGTGACATGAGGAATTTTATTGAAATTTCGTATTCTCCATTTCAAACTCATATTCACTATGTATATTCAGGATATATGGCTCCCAAATACATGAATCGCAAGCAAATGTCAGCAAAATCTGACGTTTATAGCTTTGGTGTTATGCTTTTAGAGATGATAATTGGTGTTATGCTTCTAGAGATGATAAGTGGTGAAAGAAACAATAGTTTTGAAGGAGAAGGATTTGCAGCTTTTGTAAGCTTCTTCACATGTCAAGTTTGCTCAATTTTTATAGGTATTTAGTAAACTATAGGTATAAATCGAACATATCAGCATATCTTGGGTAGAAAATGGCCATTATAGTTCGACAAAAGGAATCTTTAATAAGGTTTCTCATCAATTTTTTTGGGCAATGTGTACAATCAATTCTCTGAAAGAAAAAAAGTTATTTAGAATGGATGCATAGAACGAATGCAAAAAACGAACAAACACCAATGCAAAAGTAAAAAAAAAAAAAAAAAAAGACAAACGTACATTTTTAGAGTGGTTTAACTCCACTTCACAAACGTCCAACCATTTTCAAACGTAGTTTTACAACCACTTCTAACAATCGCTTGTATCAAAGGCTTAGCTTGATTGGAGATCACTGCAGCGTTTTGTTTACAAACATGTAAATGTGCTATCTATCACACCCATTATAGATGATCAATGATCAATGATCAAAACCGATCTCAATTGCACAGATTCAACCAGATTTTGTTATTTCGAGAAGTCTCTTCTTTTATAACGCTGAATGATTCTTTTAAGAATATCAAAATATCAAAGGTTTACAACACCTAGAGAAAAGATTCACCAATAAGAACCTGAGGTAAATAACGGCATTTTTTGTGAACGTTATGACTAAAGATTCTGCTGATGAATGCTCCATTTTTGCTTTTGGGATGATTAAATTTCCAGAGATGATCCTCATAGAATTCTAAAAACATCTATTAACGTTTTAGATTGAATTGACTACAACTACCAATCTCATTTTATTGCTCCAATAAGAATATTTGAGTTCACTTTTCCAAACAATCGACTAATTAGGACTCTACATTTAAGTCGTCTTTTGGAGTAGCTTCGGTTTGCGACGAGAAACCCATCAACACCAAAATACACCATCAGCGACTGAAACCGATTGAAGCCAGGAAAACCGTTGTCACCATCCACTCAATTGAACCAAAACTTTTGTCTTTTTCCAATTCATTAAAAAAATCTCAAGAAAAACAATAAAAAAAGCTTTGTCAAATCTAAAATAAATATGAAAAAAATGAGCAAATTAAAATAAAAGTAACAAAAGCCGATGTTGGAGCTGTAGAAGCCTCCGGCCATCGGCCTAGATCCACAGGAAAAAAAAAAACCTTTCTTCTCTCTCGACGGCTAGGATTTTCGTTTAGGATTCACATTGGGGATTGAGTTTCCTGTGTAATTCTGGCAAGACAATTTATAAAACTTCACCCAAATATTGGATGTGGTTAGCGTATTGGTCGAAGTTAATTTGCATAAGCCATTAACTGTTACAGTCAACTAACTTAGAGCATCATTTAGGGTATTTAACAGAAATTTATTAATTTTTTAATGATGTATTGTTTCTTATTTGGCAGAGACGTCTTCTAATTGGGGACGTTTTTAAGCGTTTCTTGCCACACGTGTCATGTTTTCATTTGTTTTCAAAGTTGGCGATAGTTTTCATTTCTACATTCTTCTCTCATTTCTCCGACGAACTCCAGGCGAAATCGATTTGCCTCCGGCAGCTTCTCAGTCGGATCGCTATTTTCAGACGGGGGCATCAGGGTTCGAAACTTGTCTGCAAAAGGGAAGGCGAAAGAGATAAGCTCTTAAACCTTAATCTCCTCTCTTTATCGGTTGAATTTTTGTTTCGAAACCTCCGGTTCTTCTACGCCTCTTTCTCCGGCTGATTTGGATGCTCTCAGCGCCGATTATGTCTTGGATTGCGTAAAATCCGGTGAGTATACATTTCTGCAGAAACTTTGATATCTATGTAATTTTGTTCCTTGAGGAAATAATACAAACTTAATATCTGTTTCTGAGTTGCAAATTGGTTAATGGAGTTCACTAGCAGTTTCTAATCTGTGAAATGGATTTTGATATCAAAATAGTTTTATTTTTCATCCAAATTGTTGAATTCGTGAAGTAGTGAAGACATTGAGATACCACCATGGATTCTCTGGGGACCAGCTTGTTGGATGTTAGTTGAGATTGGGTCATGAATTTTACGCAGAGAAGCTGATCGATGAAATGCCTGAAAGAGATTTAGTCTCTTTGATATCTGGGTTTTCACGGATTGCACCAATTATATCTGCTTGTGTTCACGAGAGAAGTAGAGAAGAAGGACGCTGCGTTCACGGGCTGGTGATGAATCATGTGTGCTTGAAAAAGTGCAAACTGTGAATGCTCTTATCAATTGGTATGGAGAGCTTATAGAATGATCAAAGAGATGCCAAAGAGTTTATGGAGATACCAAACTCGATAAAGAAGCCGCAGAGAGGTTGTTTGAGTTGGAACCTTGTGATAAAGGTTTGATACATGATAAAAATTCTCTCAAACGCAAGTCTTCATCATCTAGTTTTGTCCCGTTTTGCTCTAGTAGCGGGAAGGTTCTTCATTCGGGATTCAATGCTCAGTCCACCGTGTTGATGCTTCCTCCCAAAGAACAAACCATGGATTGTAAGTGAAGCTTGCTTTGAGTTGAGCTTTTTAAATAGCAGTTGTTACATTTGTATAACACCGTTGTTGAAACAAGTGTCTATGTGAAACTCCAATTATAATATTGTCTCTTGCTTACTTTTTTTGTATAAACCCACTCTATTGGTGTAATTTGTCGTGTGTTTTTCAATTTTTTTTCTTTCTTTTACTGTTCTACGCAAACAAATATATGTAAACCTTCAAGCTAAGTTGGATACAATGAATAAACAAGAGTATCTCATAGTCAAAGTCATTGACGATCAAGTAAACAACATGCACAATCAATATTTCTCTAACATAGATTTGCTTGGTAAAATATATTTTATTTTTTTGAAAACCTATGTGGGTCTCTCCATTGCACACCTTAAACACCAAGTCTCTAGAATAAATTTTTAATCTCAGAAACTAACTAAGGGGGTTATTGGGAGTTAGATTTATGAAGATTTTAGTTGATTTTAAAAATCATGAGATTTGTCAAATTTTTAAGAGTTTTGTTGAATTTGTAAAATTTAGAGAGAATTCTATGGATTTAAACAATCTATTAAGAATTTTTTAATATTACAGACTTTGAAAATCCAAGGGATATAGGTAGTATTTTGAGAATCATGATGTATGAATTAAATTATAAAGAATTATTATGCCAATAACACTAGATTATAACAAAATCATATAATCATTAAAATACAGACTTTTTGAATAACAATGGATTTTGATTAGATTATTAAAATCATCATATCAATAACAACTGATTTTTATAATCTCTAAATGAATAACAGAGGAATCTATTAAGAATGTAAAAATCCACAAACCAATAACTATAGAATCTTAAACTCTAAAAATCTTTATAAATCAAAAACACCCAAAATAATGATCTAAAGACCTTCATGGTCTCTCCCATTGAAGTTCTCTTACTCCTTGTCATTAGTTTTTTGGTGGTACCAAAAAAAAAACACTATCAGCTCGAACCTTCTTATTCTCTCAGAAGGTTTCAGTATAGTTTTCCTTTAAGGACCTTAACCTCGTCGCCGGAGATAGAGTCGTCGTTTTGGAGCCTACGTCGACGATGACGCCGATCATCAGATCCAGCCCCGTTCTCGCTTTCCTCGTTTTGCAGATTTGCTTGATCTTCACTCTCCCATGCTCTTCTGGGTAATGAATCTTTCTCTCGATTTATCTTGTTTTACTTCTGTTTGAATGTAAACTTCAGTTCCATCGTATCTCGTCGATGCAATTGACCTGCGAAGCTGCTTTCAATTTTTAGAAGCCTCTGATTTCAGTTTGATACTTTGCTTTCCATTTTTAGAAGCCTCCGAGAAAGTTAGGGTAAAATTCGAAACGCAAGATTTGTAAAAGCGATCTGTTTGCTTCGTTCTTATGTTTCTCTTTTGTTTGGTTATTGTGAAGGTCTGAGGATAGTTACAAAATCACCGGTAGAGTGAGGATTCCACCAAGTAGAGGTTTCAGCTTTTATCCCTCTTCTCTTCCTTAATCTTTTGCTCATTTCTGTATATGATAATTCAGTTGATTGGATACTGTTAATCTAAGAATGTTCCATTGAAAAGATTTAACTTTCATGTTAATCTATGAATGTCAATATCAGCTCTGTCTTAAAACAATTTAGCTGTGTTGTGTCATGAAGGTATTTGGTTTATCGTTATTCATCTGTCTAATGATCTATAATCTGAAGCTTAAATTGTATCAGATTAGGTTAGATAGGACTAGTTCTCTGAATGTTTTTCCATATCTTACATTACAGTTCCATAGACGAGCTCCTAATAGAAGAAGTGGTGTTATATGTATAATAGGACTGTGACTAAAGCAATGTTCTGCTCAAGTGTTCTGTTTTGATGTTTTGACTGATGATTATGTACCCTGCTTCATGTTTAGTCTGAGAGAAGAAGTTGGGATATGTTGGTCTTTCTTTCATCAATCATGTATAATACAATAAACTATGGAACTGATCTACCGGTTATTACGTAGGCATTGTGATTGGTCATACAGCAAAGTTCTCAAATGTCAAAGTTATACTCAATGGTGGACAGAATCTTACGTTTCTCAGGCCTGATGGATACTTTACTTTGTATCCTATTGATCCCTCAGTTATAAACTTTTCTTTCGACTATATATATACAAGGAAAAATACGAGTAATGGATATGCTTCTTAATTTTTGCGGTCCTTGACTAACCGGTTTTGTAAAGTCACAAAGTGCCTGCTGGGACTCATTTGATTGAAGTGTCTGCAATGGGATACCTCTTCTCTCCGGTAAGTTGTTTGTGTTGTTGCTGTGTCTTATGGTTTCATCTTCAGTTTGTTAAGAACACGGTTCTCATGCAACGATGGATAACCAAAAATTAGGTACGAGTAGATGTCAGTGCTCGGCATCGTGGCAAGGTTCAGGCAACACTAACAGAAACCAGGAGGAGTCTTACTGAGCTGGTTTTGGAGCCATTGAGGGAAGAGCAATACTACGAGGTTATGAAACTTTACATGACTCTTTTCATTATTGATGTTTTTTCTTTTGTATGTGCTTGTTTTGTCTGATCTGATCTTGCAAAAATACTACAGGTTCGAGAGCCTTTCTCTATTCTGTCAATTGTTAAAAGTCCGATGGGTCTCATGGTGGGATTCATGGTCGTTGTTGTGTTCCTAATGCCTAAACTGATGGAGAACATAGGCACGCTTCTATCACATACACTAATCTTACGAGCTTTGCTTCTATTACATACATTGATCCGGAATTGATGTTCGTTTATCATTTTTGATCTAAAATGTGTCAATAACAGATCCAGAAGAGATGAAGCAAGCACAAGAGGAAATGAGGAGACAAGGCGTGCCTTCGCTCTCGAGCTTGTTGCCAAGCGTTGGGGCTAGCCGTTAAGAGTTCCTTGGTTAACTCAATGTATCTCACAAAAGGAGAGCCGAGAAAGGTATCACATTGTTGTGAGACACAAACTCCTTGTAATAGATTTGCTTTTAATAAAAAGAAACGTGAATATAATGCAATTTCAGAAGAATTTTCTTTGTTATATATAAAAAATAATCCATTTATTAGTTAGTCAAACAACATTTATTAACAATACAATAATAAAAAAGGGATTAATAGTAGTCATTGGGACCTTAATAGTCATTAAACCACGCGGCCATGGGGAAGCTCAAAAGTCTCCTGTATTAGAAAAGTTAATACTCGTATCAGATTAATACGAAACCTCTTGCTATACCCTACCATGCATGGTGGTTTCAGTATAAAATAAAGGCGAATCCTTGTAATACCAGTACATCCAAAGCTTGATTTGTAAATCCTTTTCCTTATTTTTGTTTTGTTTTTCATTCCAATGGATACAGAGAAACCAAAGTTGAGTCTGAGACTTCTGATTGATAAGAAGAGAAACAAAGTTGTTCTGGCTGAAACTTGTAGGGATTTTGTTGATGTACTCTTCAGTTTTCATACACTGCCAATGGGCACCATTGTCAGATTGCTTGATAAGCATCACAAGTTGCAGCCAGTGAGCGTTGGGTGTTTCAACAACCTTTACAAAAGTGTTTCAGACATGGACGTTCATGATTTCGAGACCGAGGATTGCAAAAGTATGTTGCTGTATCCGAGGAGCACCAAGGAGATCCATTGTAGGAGGCTGAAGCTAAACATCGATGATACTGAGGCCACAAAGTTCTTCGCATGTCCAACTTTCTATAAGGAAAATTGTAAGCAGTACAGCAATTTCAACACTTCGAGGTGTAGCTGTGGAGATTTGATGACAAGGACGGTTCATGTTTCAGAAGAAGAGCAAGTTGGAGGGCCGATAGGAAACGTTGAAGATGGAGTGTTTGTTAGCTGTCGTTCCTCTTACATTGTCACTGATGATCTGAGAGTGACATTGAGCTCTCTTGGTGTGATTGCAAATGTACTCAATGGACTTGGATATGCAGATCTTGATGACTTGCAGGAAATCCATCTAGATGCTGGTTATGAAGAGGTATATTTTTTACTATGTTCATTACTCTTTCATTTTTCTGCATATGGTTTCTAATCTTATCTAAATTTAGGTGCTTACTCTAATAATCTATTTGCTTCGGAATTTCCGTTAACAAGCACATTCCTTGGAAAACCTTTCATGGTAAAAGGGTTTTCTACACATGCAGTGAAAAGTGAGCATGTAAAAGTAGGCCATGAATGTTATGCGAAATTATTTGTTAGAAAGTGTGACAGGAAAATTCTTTATGCAGAGTGCAATGAAGACTTTGTTGATTCTCTTCTCACTTTTTTGGTTTTACCTCTTGAGTTGGCATGGTCATTATCTAATGCTGGTACCGTTTTGGGATGTGTTGCAAATTTGTGCCGAAGTGAGTGTAAGAGAGCTTCAGCTTCCACATCCTGGGAGATTCCTTATTATTATACTTGCAGTAAACAGATTCTTGATATTCCGCATCAGCAAGGAGTGGTATATGAATGTTTACGTCAAACTCTTTCGGGTGTTAATTTGGAAAGGAAGGTTACAAGGCATACAACAAGAACAATTATGAGTATGAGGCCAAGGGATCCAAAAGTGAAGTCCAATACTCCTTCAATACATGGTACTGGATTTGTGAAGAGAGATACAAAGTTTATCGTGTCAGACGATCTGGTTATTACTCCTATGAAGTCAGCTTTAACCATAGTTGTTTATGAGAGTAATATCAACATCAGTGACCTTGAGGAGCATGGAATTAGCATTTCTAAAGCAGAGGTAATGCATGTAATAATTTTGCCTTTTGTTTTACTTTTTGTTCTTTGGTATAGTCTTTTTGTCTTAATGTTTTTTGTTTATATTTTCTTTAATGTGTTTCCATTGCATGCAGCTCATCAGCATTCTTAGAGCTTCCTTGATCTCCCGTTCTGCATTAACCAATGGCCTATCAAGCTTTCTTGCAAAGAAGCAGAAGAAACAGGTGATTAGCAAATGTGAAGCAAATGTTGCTTTTACTATAATCTTCCAACTTTCAAAATTTCAACTACATCCTTCTGCTTCTTTATTAACCTGCTTTTATTACAGGTATTCTCTACTGCAAAAACCAATATTCCCTAAATCATCAGCCATTGTTTCTTATGGTTGTTATAATCTGCTACAACTATTTATAGTTTCATGACTTTCATCTTTTTTTTTTTTTTGAAGAACACACTTTCATCTTTATTCCTCTGTTCTCTCAAGTTTCTTAAGACTCTTAACTTTGATTTTAATTACTATTTTCTCAATACCTTTCTGTCTTATTTCTTTAGCTGACTGGAGATTAATGGGTTGTGGGTACCCAAGATTAATAATCTCTCTGAACTTTATACATTACAAAACGAACACGAATCAACAGACGTAAACATAGTAATACAAATTTGCATTTTCTTACCGTAAGCCTATTAACAATATTTCATTGATAATGAGATCACAACCTCATCTCATTACTAGACCGAAGAAAATTTTATTTATGTTAGAGTTTAACTTTTATTTCAAAGAATCCCAAATGTAGACTCGAGAAAATAATGATCATTGTGCTTCTTGCGGATCATTTGGGCAAGAAAATGGTTGTTTGTTTCAGTAATTTGGATAAGTTATTTGCAAGATGGTTCGTACATATTTTTGAGTTTATCCATCCGATCCATTCTTTTAAAATTTTATTCCAAATGAATCATTCGGAATTTATGAGATTAAATTTAAAAGTTGAATTTTTTTTTTAACAATTTTATGATATTATATAGCCATAAACGAGCATTTACTTTTGACCAAAAAAAAGCGAGCATTTACTTAGCCAAAAAAAAAAAAATGTCCTAAATCATATTCTTTCATTAATTTTACATTACGAATAATATATACTATCAATTTACTCCATAAAAGTGTCTAAACCATCTAAAAATCGCTTAGAATTTGAGTATTTGACTAAGCGTTCTTAGTGCAGACGCCTTCTTAAACACTATTAAGCTGATTTTGCATAGTTTCAATTAAGTAAGATATAAATAGTATTGTGATTTTTTAAAAAGTAAATCAACACAGATATACGACCCCCTTCCTATATAAAGGTCTGCCACTTTCTTCTCAGAGCCACACAGATTTAACGCAGTGAAACTCGATAATAACCTCTGCAGCATCAGTTTAAAATTTGTCAGAGTGAGGATTTTTTATAGTCGTTTGCCAGCAACTCAGATCGAGATAGGTGCCAATCTTTTTATCTCTGGAAAGATCTCGCTGCAAGAAATCCATAGCAGTTGGCAGATCAAAACTACGAGGTAAGCATCGTATTTGTACCCATTTTCACCATTGATTTCAAATGATTTTTCAAAGCTTTTAATCAGTTTTAGAAACTTTTATTATGATTTCTCTATATTTGTAGTTTCAAGGCTCTTTTCAGGAAACTTAGGAAAAAAGATGGTAAAATGGAAGAAATCCACATTTTTAGCTCAGAGTCAGACCGTCAGAAGTTTAGCCTCAAATGAAGACTTTTTCACCGTCTGATCCAGCTCAAATTTGGAGAAATTCAAGAGGAGACAACCAGCTTTCCATATCACTTTACATCACGAAGATCCAACGGTGCAATCAAAAGATAAATGGAGAACAAGTTGGCCAAATTCACCAGCCCCGGAAGACTTTCACCCACAGCGAACATGCATTTCACCTGCCCCGGAAAATTTTCACCCCCGGTGGACCGAATCCGAGCCACAAGGCCCAACATCAAAATCCATTTCGCCATTCCTCTTCAGAGAAGCCCTAAATGAGACCTCGAAGACCTTAGAACCTATAAATACATTTCTTAGCAGCTCTAAACGGGTGTGTGCTCTTGTAATGAGATTTTGAGCCACCAAACTTTGTTCTTCTAGGGTTAGGAGATGGAGAAGGGGATTCTTCCCTGGATCCATTGTTCTTTCTCTGTTCTATCTAATTAACTTTTCTGTTTCATCTTTTGCATTCTTTCATGTCTTTTATCATTCCTTGCATCATGTAGATCTGTCCCATAGAGTCAAGTTGTTGAAGAATCATCGATATGCATACATGTTCGATTAAGATTTCTAAGTTTTTAGACCATATTCTGGATCTCATCTCTTCTAAGTTGTTCATATTGCATGAGAGTAGATTCATGACCTATTCTCTGAGCCTAGGATCGATCAGAGCCACGAGAGTGCTGTATCAGATCATCCATACCTAGCTTCAGAAGGACATAGTCACTATAGGAGTCGAGAGCTACCTGTAGAGAATATGTGAGCAAAAACGAATTCAATAGTTAATGCATGATCTTAATTTTGGCATGAGAGCGAGAGTTAATTATCAGATTTGAGTGATTAGTTGATTAAGATGGCGAGAGCTGGTTAATCGTACACATGTCCATTCCATTTCCATGTAGATCCCAGAAATAGATGAAGAGAATGCTTTGACATCGATTAGAGTAAACCAGAGAAGTATAAATCGCCACCTATAAGTTTAGAGTCTATAGTTTGAGTCGACATCCTTGAGATATTTTTTTAACAACCCATTTGCATTGCATTTTATTTCCCGTATATATTAGAATAGGTTTAGCTTAGGATTCTTAACCAAAAACCAAAATCCCCATAAGTTTATGACTTTGCTTACTTTCCCAGTTTGTTGTTTCTTGCAGATTAGACATCTTCCCTGTGGATCGACACCCTAAGTCCTATAACGTACATCTGTGCATTTGCAGACACTAGGGTTTTATAAATTAAAACATTTTAAGACCAATGGGCTTATAGAAAACACAACCCTAGGCCCGCACCCATCAAGTTTTTGGCGTTGTTGCCGGGGAAGATTTTAGTCGCTGGAGGTCTAAACCCAGGAGGTTGAAGCCGCAGATGATTATATATATGTCAACTTTCTGCCAAAACACCATAGGAGGTAAACCAAACTCATAAACACCCTAACTTTTTCCTTTTCTGCTTACTCTTTCTTCTGTTTGCCCTAGTTTCAGAATCATTGAAGCATGGATCATCCAAGAAGAAACCTTAACCCCGAGCGAAAGTTGTGCAACCTGTGTGAAGCTCCCTGCGCATGTGAATCACCATCCAGGTGTGATTCCGATCATCTTGTTCGGCCGAATAATCTGAACCACCACCATGGAGACTCGCGAACTCCAAGCCACCGAGATGAGCCCTATTCGCCACACCTGGTGAACCGTCGGCCATCTCATCCCTTACCTCATCAGATTTTGCACCAGAACTATGAGAATGATCGATTTAGGCTCTAACTAGATATATTAGACACCAAGCTGAATGAGTTTCTTGATTTACAAGCTATTGCTGAATCTAACCTATGTTTGAAATTGGAGTCCATGTCCATTGATTTTAACAGGAGAAGCTCGAATGTCTCTCTGATCAACTGAAGACCGACCCCTTGTGACCAGATCTAGGTTGTTTGCTCAAGCTGTCTTCTCAATCACTGCACAAGCATTAAAAGAAAATGAGGAATCCAACACTTATGCATCTTGCAACATGGTTTACACCTGTGACAATGAGCTTCAAGAGCAATTCTCAGAAGATGAAGAGTACGGTTTGTTTGTTAAAGATCCATCTCTGGGGACAATTCATCTGATGAGAACTCAGAACCAACAACCAAGAGCATATCCAGAGAAAGACTGATCGAATTCAACAAATTTGTGAAGTCCATTCCTCTCTATCTCGGATTAGATGACATCTGGAAGTAAGGTTCACTACAAGTAAACATGGATTTAGTGACCACAAGAACAGTCGATATGTAGTCGCTAATTGTCCATTTACGACGTATTAGCGACTAATTCAATTGGTCGCTAATATTGAGTCGCTAAATAAAATAGTCGTTAATCAGTCGCCATTTAGCAACTAATTAACGACTCAGGCCTGTTGAAGTAAATTAGTGGCAAATCAGTCGGGAATTTTGCGACTGAATAACGACTACGTTTGCGACTCAATCGCGACTAACCAGCGACTATTTTTACATTTTCAAACGGTAATTTGGTGCAATTTAACGACTGTAACCGACTAATTCCCGACAACTTTGCGACTGATTTACTACTGCATTGTGACTGTTTTCATAATGAAAATTCAGTTTGGTATTACGAATTTGCTCCTCCATACCTTGTAATTTGAATCCAGTTATAGATTTTATAAAAAATTTGTTTCAAATAATAATTTTGACACTATATATATGAAAAGAAGAAGCATAGAAACATTAAATTACATATGTTCTTCTAAAAAAAAAGAGATCACATACAAAGTCAAATGTCATATTAACTTCCATTGGAAAATGAGTTACTATATACAACCAAGGAGATAAGTTAAAACGAGATCAAAGTCATTGAAAAAAGTTCTAGAGCCTAAGATTCCGAGAGATTACTAGAGAGCACCATTGATAAGAGTTCAAAGGAGAACAAAAGAGTTGAGAGAGGTAGAGTAACCTATGATTCCGGGAGAATACTGGTCTGAGGAGCAGAAGTCATCGGAGCAGCATCATCTGGCTCTTCAGAGGTGTTGCTTGCGGCCAAAAAGTCTAAAAACCCTGGATCAGTTGCAGCCAAATACCTTTCGACCAGGGAGAGTTTGTCGATCTTCGCTTGTTGCTCTGCAGAAACTCTTGTAAGCTCGGACTTTTGCCTTGCATTCTCAGCTGCTTGTTCTTCTATTTTGGGTTTAGCTTCTTCTAGTTGTTCTTGCAGAGTCTTGTATGTTGAAGAGCTACCCGGGTACTTCCTCTTTCCATTGATATGCGACTGTGAAAGGCTTCCAATTCCATATGGAATGCCTCTTTCATTTGTGAATGTCGACTGCAACAACAAAAGAATGATTCAAACAAAAAAAAAACCAACTGATCACACTATATTATAAAATACAAACAACAAACCAAAAACGAGGACTTACCTGGAGAAAGAGGTCGTTCTCCTCTTCAACGGTTAGCTCCTCTAAAGCATCTGAGTCTAGTGCCCCTTGGTTACTAATTCTAGCTTCCAAGTTCCTCTTATACCTTTCAGCCACGCTCTCTGCTTTTCGGTCTACAAAGGTCCCATCTGCTTTTGTGTGAGTCTTGATGAAATTTTCACCAAGACTCACTGGTCTTCCCAATTCTTCTTCCTGCAATGATAAGAACAAGATGCAAGAGTTAAAAGT